TCTTATCAGACCACCATGCATTAAAATTAGAATTCAACAATAACACAAATCGCAGGAACCCTACAAGCTAATGGAAATTGAACAATGCACAATTGCACCATTCCTAGGTAAAGGAAGAAATAAAAGAGAAATTAAATACTTCCTAGAATTCAATGAGAATGAAGTCACAACATAACCAAACTTGTGGAACACTCTAAAAGCAGTGTTGAGAGGAAAGTTCATAGCACTGAGTGCCCACATGCAGAAACTGGAGAACAGTCATACTAGAGAATTAATAGCACAGCTGAATGTTCTAGAACAAAAAGAAGCAAACTCACCCAGGAGGAGGAGATACCAGGAAATAATCAAATTGAGGGCTGAAATCAATCAAGTAGAAACCAGGAGAACATTGAGGAGAGTCAATGAAACAAAGAGTTCGTTCTTTGAGAAAATCAACAAAATAGACAAACCTCTGTCGAAACTAACGAAAAGACAAAGACAGAGCATGCTAATTAACAAAATCAGAAATGAAAAAGGGGACATAACAACGGCCTCCGAGGAAATCCAGAGAATCATCAGGGCATACTTTGAAAATCTGTACTCCACAAAATTTGAAAATGTAAAGGATATGGACAATTTCCTGGATAGATATCACTTGCCAAAACTTAATCAAGACCAGATAAACAATCTAAACAGACCTATAACCCCTAATGAAATAGAAGCAGTCATCAAAAGTCTCCCAAACAAAAAAAGCCCAGGCCCAGATGGCTTCAGTGCAGAATTCTACCAGAAATTCAAAGAAGAGCTAATTCCAATACTCCTCAAAGTATTCCACACAATAGAAGCAGGAGGCTCACTGCCAAACTCTATTTAGGAGGCTACAATTACCTTGATACCCAAGCCACACAAAGACACAACTAAGAAAAGGAACTATAGACCAATTTCCCTCATGAACATCAATGCAAAAATATTCAATAAAATACTCACAAACCGGATTCAAGAACACATCAGAAAAATCATCCACCATGATCAAGTAGGCTTCATCCCAAGAATGAAGGGATGGTTCAACATTAGAAAATCTATCAATGTAATCCACCATATAAACAAACTGCGAAAGAAAAGCCACATGATAATCTCACTAGATGCTGAAAAAGCCTTTGACAAAATCCAGCACCCCTTCATGATAAAGGTCCTAGAGAGATCATGGATAACAGGAACATACCTGATATTATAATAAAAGCAATATACAGTAAACCAACAGCTAACATCAAACTAAATGGAGAGAAACTCAAAGAAATTCCTCTAAAATCAGGAACAAGACAAGGCTGTCCACTCTCTCCCTATCTCTTCAATATTGTACTTGAAGTCCTAGCTACAGCAATAAGACAACAAAAGGAGATAAAGGGGATACAAATAGGAAAAGAAGAAGTCAAGCTTTCATTACTTGCAGATGATATGATAATTTATATAATTGACCTGAAAAACTCCACAAGGGAACTCCTAGAGCTGATAATCACCTTAAGCAAAGTGGCAGATACAAGGCAAACTCAAAAAAATCAGTGGCCCTATTATATATAGATGATGAAGTGACAGACAAAGAAATTAGAGAAACATCACCCTTTACAATAGCCATAAACAGCATCAAATATCTGGGGATAATGTTAACCAACGAAGTGAAACACCTGTATATCAAGAACTTTGAGTCTTTAAAGAAAGAAATCAAAGAGGATACCAGAAAATGGAAAGATTTCATATGCTCTTGGATTGGTAGAATCAACATAATAAAAATGGCAATCTTGCCAAATGCAGTCTGCAGATTCAATGCAATCCCTATCAAATTTCCGGCACAATTCTTCACAGACCTGGAAAGAACAATAATCAACATTATATGGAAAAACAAAAGGCCCACGATAGCCAAAACAACCCTATACAATAAAGGAACTTCAGGAGGCATCACCATACCTGATTTCAAGCTCTATTATAGAGCTATAGTCCTGAAAACAGCTTGGTATTGGTGCAAAAATAGGCAGGTAGACCAATGGAACCGAATTGAAAATCCGGTTTTTAACCCACACACCTATGAACACTTGATTTTTCACAAAATAGCGAAAACTATACAATGGAAAAAAGAAAGCATCTTCAATCAATGGTGCTGGCATAACTGGGTACTGGTATGCAGAAGATTGCAGATAGAACCATGTTAATCGCCTTGTACAAAACTTAAGTCCAAATGGATCAAAGATCTCAACATAAAACCAGCCACACTGAAACTTTTAGACGAGAAAGTGGGAGATACTCTTCAACAAGTTGGTACAGGAGACCACTTCCTGAACATAACACCAGTGACACAGACACTGAGGTCCACAATTAACAAATGGGACCTCATGAAACCAAAAAGCTTCTGTAAGGCAAAGGAGGACACATTCAACAAGACAGAAAGGCAGTCCACAGAATGGGAAAAGATATTCACTGATCCCACATCTGACAGAGGGCTAATCTCCAAAATTTACAAAGAACTCAAGAAGCAAGTCTCCAAAACACTGAAGGATCCAATCAAAAGGTGGGGTACAGAACTAAACAGAGAATTCTCAATAGACGAGTCTAAAATGGCCAAGAGACACTTAAGAAAGTGTTCAACATCCTTAGCCATCAGGGAAATGCAAATCAAAACAACTCTGAGATATCATCTTACTCCTGTCAGAATGGATAAAATCAAAAACACCGAAGACAATTTATTCTGGAGAGGATGTGGAGAGAGTGGAACACTCCTCCACTGCTGGTGGGAGTGCCAACTCGTACAGCCACTTTGCAAAGCAGTATGGAGATCCCTCAGGAAAATGGGAATCAATCTACCACAAGATCCAGCAATTCCACTCTTAGGCATATATCCAAAGGAGGCAAATTCATACAACAAGGGCATCTGCTCCTCTATGTTCATAGCAGCATTATTTGTAACAGCCAGAACCTGGAAGCAACCTAGATGCCCCTCATCTGAAGAGTGCATAGAGAAAATGTGGTACATTTACACAATGGAGTATTACTCAGCAGAAAAAATAATGGAAATTTTAAATTCACAGGTTAATGGATAGCACTGGAAGAAACCCTCCTGAGTGAGGTAACCCAGTCACAAAAAGACTCACTCATATATGGATTTTAGACATGGATCAGGATAGTACCAGTCTGCACTTCCACTGACAGAGAGTCTGGGAAACAGGAAAGAACCTAAAAGATATGCATAGTACCCAAGAGAAGAGGAATGAGGCAAGATCCTCTGAACAGATGGGGAACACGGCGAGGGTAGGGGGGGAGTGGGAGCTGGGAAGAAGAGAGGGGGAGAAGAGGAAGACAGAGTAGGTCATGGGGGAACAGGAATAGGGGGAAGAGGGAATCATAGGTTAGAAGACAGATCAGACACCATTGTGACCACTAGTGATCTAAAGGGATGTAAAGGGATGACACCAATTGGCAAGCTAAGCAATAGTGGAGAGACCACCTCGAATGCCCATTCCTGATAGTGAACTTGATGTCTACAACCATCTGGGAGCCTTCATCCAGTGACTGATGGAAGCAGAGGCAAACACCCACAGCTAAACACTGAACTGAACCCATTGACACAGAGAGATGGAGCGATGAGCAAATTGGCAAAGAATGGGCTGGCAAAACCAGCAGAGACAGCTGATCTGAACAAGGGAGATCTCTTGAACCCCAGACCGACAGCTGGGAGGGCAGCATGGGACTGATCTAGACCCACTGAGTGTGAGAGTCAGTGAGGAGGCCTTGGCAACCTATGGGGCCCTCGGCAGTAGATCAGTATTTATCCCTGGTGTACAAACGGACTTCGTGTGTCCATAACACAAACAGGGATGCTCTCTCAACCTGGACTCCTAGGGGAGTTCCTGGACCCTGCCCAGAGTGAAAGGACAGACTCTAGATGTCCCCTATGGGGAAGGAATTAGCTATAGAATGGGAGGGTGTGGGGGAATTATAGGGGGGTGCGGGAGGAGGGGAGGGAGAGGGAACATGGATTGACATGTGAAGCAAGCTATTTAAAATTAAAATAATAAAATAAAAAATAAAATATAAACATAATTTATTATTGTTACATAAGTGCAATTTAAGAAATATAGGTAAATAAATAATAAATAAGTGTAATTTAAACTTGTAAAGTACACACATCAAAAAGGAACAAACACATAGAAAAAGTAGTGCACAAATGATTTTGTTTTTAAAGATGTATTTCCTAATATGTACAGTGTTTTCCTGGATGTACGCCTGCACACCAGAAGAGGACACCAGATCTCATTATGGATGGTTGTGAAACACCATGCTGCAAATTGATCACAGGAGCTCTAGAGGAGAAGCCACAGCTCTTAACCTCAGAGTCATCTCTCCAGTCCCTAGTTCACAATTGTATGGCAGCACTTGAGACTGTGAGGAAGTGGATTATACATGTTATTCCATGTAGAAGTGGGCAATGAGACCCTTCAGAGAAACCTTCAAACACTTTGAATGGGAAGAAGTATATCACATGAAAAAATATGAACAGGAAAAAAGCAAGCCGACCTGAAAACTTGTATTTGTTTTTTTGTTTGTTTGTTTCTTTGTTTTGGTTTTTCGAGACAGGGTTTCTCTGTATTGTTTTGGAGGCTGTCCAGGAACTCACTCGGTAGACCAGGCTGACCTCGAACTCACAGAGATCCGCCCGCCTCTGCCTCCCTAGTGCTGGGATTAAAGGCGTGCGCCACCAACGCCTGGCAAAAACTTGTATTTATTATGTGTAATATTCATTCGTGCCTGCTACCACCCAGTGCTGACAAAGATGAGGATGCAGGAGACAGACCCTGATGGGATTTTAGAAATGACATCCACTAAATATTGATGGCGTCTTCTGCCTGACCTAGCCACAGCCTTGGGGAAGTCAGAGCCTGGTGTCTGAGGAGGGCAGTTCCCCTTCCTGTGAGGCTGCTGAAGTACAACCCTGTCATAGGGAGGGCACTGCCTCCAGAGGCCACACCCTGTGTCTCCTGTCCCTCCAGACAGTCTCTGTAGCTCTGTCCACAAGCACAGCTGCAGCCTCCAGGAGGAGATGCCATGACCTTCACCTTCATAGCCCTGCTCTGTCTGGGTGAGATGTGGTGAGGGGGAGGGGACGCTGTGCTCTGGGGTTGATGCTGCCCCACAGCCCAGCACTGCTCAGTTAGGAAACCCCAGGCTCTCAGGAGGTTCTGCAGAGGGGAGGACCTTCTCAAGCTTCAGAGACAAACCTCTCACAGGGAACTCTCTTCCAGGACTGAGTCTGCAACATAGGACACCAGTGCTGGCAGGTGAGTGAGTGAGTGTCTGCCCATGTCCTGATATCACTTCTCATCATTCCTGGAGCCAGGCTTGGAAGTGAGGATGGAAACCAGCACATGAGTGCTGACCTTGGGTAGGATGGAGGGTTGGTGTCAGGTGCTGCAATCTGAGGGTGGCTGCCCTGCGTCCTAGCTGATCTTTTCCTTGCAGGAACTCTCAAACCTATCCTCAGTGTACAGCCAGACTCTGTGGTCTCTGTACAGACTACAGTGACATTCTTATGTGAGGAGACCACAGGAGCCCAAGAATATCGTCTGTACAAAAATGGAAATCCCAGGCTCCAAGAGATTCCTCCAAATCCTAAGAACAAGGCTGAATTCTCCATCTCAAAAATAAGCTCTCAACAGGCAGGGCAATATACCTGTCAATATTGGACCTATGGAGCAGGATGGTCACAGCAGAGTAATTCCCTGAAGCTGGTGGTGACAGGTGAGAGGAATCACAGAGTCCACAGCATCAGGCTTCACTGTCAAGAAGTGGTTCTGTACACAGGGATGACTCCTCATCCATCCCTGGAGGATAATGAGTTCTTTGAGGACACTAAACTGATTCCTCCTTCTCTACAAGGGGCCTACAGTAAACCCAGACTCTCAGCCCAGCCAAGCCCTGTGGTGACTGAAGGAGGGAAAGTCAACCTGCTGTGTGAATCAAATCAATGGTATCACAAGTTCATTCTGACTAAGGAAGGACCACACAAGCAATCCTGGACACTGGACCCAAAGTATGACTACAATACTAAGCAGTACTATGCCCTGCGCCATGTGGGTCCTGTGACCTCCAACCAAAGGTGGACATTCAGATGTTACAGCTTTGACAGTAAACAACCACTAGTGTGGTCAGAACCTAGTGATCGCCTGGAGCTCCTGTTCTCAGGTGAGGAACCCCAGCCTTTCCCTAGAACGATGTTGAAATGACACAGGTGCTGAGGGTGGTCTACACGTGTGTGTGTGTGTGTGTGTGTGTGTGTGTGTGTGTGTGTGTGTGTGTGTGTGTGTGTGTGAGAGGAGCTAGGGTTCATGAGACCAGAGACACAGATTGTGGTAGACAGAGGGACACAGTATACAGAATCTAAGGGACACAGTGACAGCAGAGTCTAGGAGGTCTAGGACAGACAGGAATCTGTTACTCTTGATCAGCTTAAATAGCATCCACAAGAACTCGGGGAATTCCACAGAAGAGACACAGAAAGATGGGAGGAGCCACACAGCCCTCAGGACACCAGGAGAACACGGAACTCAGGATCAACTCAGCGGGACCATGAGGGCTCACAGAGATTAAGCAGCATTCAAGGCACATGCATGGGTTTCCCTAAGCCCTCTGCACACATGCTGTGCTGATTTACCCTGGGTTCTTTTTATTTTTGTTTTTTGAGGTTCACTGTGTAGCCCTGCATGTCCTGAACCTCACTCTATAGACCAGGCTGGCCTTTTACTCACGCATATCTTCCTGTGCTTGGCTCCTGTGTACTAGGATTAAAGGCATGCACAAGCACAGCCAGACTAGCCTTTTAGTTAGACTCATAGCAATAGGAGTCTGGAAGTCTCTGACCCTTTTGCCTACACAGGGGAAATTTTTCCTCCTACTGGGTTGCCGTCTCCAGTCTTAATAGGACGGTGATTATCTAGTCTGACTGCATGTTGTCATGTCATGCTCCATTAATATCCCGGTGAACCCTGAACTGCTCTAAAGGGAAACAGAGGAGCAGTGCATCTCAGGGAGAGGGCAAGTGAGGGGCTGCTGCAGGATGAATTGTTTGACAGGGGAATAAATTAAATAGAAAAAAATGCCTCCTACAACTGTGACTTTCTCTGTCCTGTGTCATTTTCACACAGACCCACCTCCTTCTCTCCTATTTCCTTGCAGGGACCCTCCACAAACCCACCATCAAGGCTGAGCCAGGCACTGTGGTCGCCTACGGAAGCCCCATGAACATCTCATGTCAGGGAACCCAGGATGCAGAAATGTGTTTTCTGCATAAGGAGGGAAGCCAACAAACCTGGGGTACACAGACCCCAAAGGAGTCTGGAAACAAGTCCACGTTCTCCATTCCTTCTGTTGCAGACTACAGTGGGGGGAATTATCGCTGTTACTGTTATAGCTCAGCTGGCTGGTCAGAGCGCAGTGACACCCTGGAACTGGTGGTGACAGGTGAGGGGACAGTCAGAGTCTCAGCCCCGGACTCTGCTCTCAGGAGTGTTCCCTCCCAAAGCCTAGCCCTGGACAGCACTGTGACTGTGTGAGCCCATGTAACAGGCTGATCCTTCTGTCCTAGGATTCTATGACAATAAACCACGCCTGACAGCACTGACCAGACCTGTAGTGACCTCAGGAGGGAACATGACTCTCCAGTGTGTCTCATGGGTAGGATATCACAACCTCATTCTCACCAAGGAAGATCAGAAGTTCCTCAGCTCCCTGAACTCACAGTACAATCGCAGTATTGGGCAGTACCAAGCCTTGTTCTCCATAGATCATGTAACACCCAACCACACAGGGACATTCAGATGCTATGGTTACTACCAGCAAAGGCCACAGCTGTGGTCAGTACCCAGTGAGCCCGTGGAAATACACATCTCAGGTGAGTCAGCCCCATCACTGACCAATCATTCTTTGACTCCCCAATCCCTTTGCCATGGACCTGTCCCACTGTTTGTTTGCAGGTAAAGAGTGACAGAGTGAAAAGGAAGGTTCTGGATGCTGAGACAGATCCCACTCCTGGGGAGAAGCAGTGACTTGTGCAGAACAGGAAGAAGAGGGATCAGTGCTTGTGAAACCAGGTCCCAAATCACCAGCCTGTCACCTTCCCTCTAGGCCTGTCTAAGAAGCCCTCTCTGCTGACTCACCAAGGTCATATCCTGGACCCTGGAAAGAACCTCACTCTGCAGTGTTTCTCTGACATCAACTACGACAGATTTGTTCTGTACAAGGTGGGAGAAACAGACTTCACCCAGCTCTACGGCCAGAGGACCCAGTCTGGACTCTCCTTCACCAACTTCACACTGGACCTTGTGAGCCGCTCTACTGGAGGTCAGTACAGATGCTATGGTGCACACAATGTCTCCTCTGAGTGGTCAGTCGCCAGTGACCCTGTGGACATCCTGATCACAGGTGAGCAACTAAATAGATTCAATCTGGTACCTAAGATCTGCATGAGTTCTCATGTGGACCTAAGAGCTGATGGCTGGGATGAGGAAACGGATCTTATTTGGGAATGATGGAGAAACAGAGAGCAAGAGAGAGGGGAAGGCAGAGAAAAGACAGAGTCACAGGTGCTCAGATCTGACCCGTGTGAAGTCTCAGATCAGAACACTGGAGACAGCCTCTCACTATCTCTGTTCTCTTTAGGACAGCATCCTGACAGACCTTCCATCTCAGTGAAGCCAAACTCCACAGTGCAGTCTGGAGACAACGTGACCCTGCTGTGTCAGTCAACATACACAGCTGACACTTTCATTCTGTCCAAGGAGGGAACAACACACCAACTCCAGAAAATGAAATCCAAGTCACAAGATGGGGAGCTCCAGGCAGAATTCTCCATGAGTGCCGTGACCTCTGCCCACTCAGGCACCTACAGGTGCTATGGTTCCCATGACTCATCTCCCTACATGTTATCATATCCCAGTTTCCCTGTGGAGCTCTCTGTCACAGGTGAGGTGACCCTGAACTCTCAGGGTGACTTACAGACCAAACATTAGGAGAGTCCTTGACTTGGTTGGGATTAAGGCGACAATAGGAAGCATTAGTCAGAAGTCAGTTTCCCTGCAGAGACGTAGATGCGAGCAGGGTCCCTCAAGTACTGTGCACTGCTTCCTCTATCGCAATCTAGGTTTGGGGTAGACAGCAGGAGGATCTTGGGGAGGTTACAGGACAGATGTAGGAAGGACAGCAGAGGCAGATCCCTGAGTTAGCATCTATCCCTAACCCACTCTTGTTCTGTTTCCTAGGTCACATTGGAGCCTCCAGCCCACCACCCTCAAGTCCCTTGCCAACAGCTGGTAAGTATCAGGCATCCACTGAAGTCCTGATTTCTCTGTCACTTCAGATTGTGAGTGTGGGAGACAGAGTTGACTCTTTCATTCTGTCCAAAGAAGGAAAAGAACAGCAACCCCAGTGAAGAAAATCACAGTTCCAAGATTTGGAGTTCCAGGCAGAATTCTCCATGAGTGCTATGACCTCTGCCCTCTCAGGTACCTACAGGTGCTATGGTTCTCAAGACTCATCTCACTACCTGTTGTCACATGCCAGTGCCCCTGCAGAGCTGTCTGTCACAAGTGAGGTGACCAAGGTCTTCCTGAGCTGGAGAGGAATTAGCATTGTATCTTTGAATACAATTAATATCTAGGATGGGGACAGTCTGATGGATATACTCTCTCGTGAATGTGGAGGCCAAGCATGGGTGTTTCTAGGCATGCTCACTAAAGTCTGTAATAATGGAATCAAGAAGGTTCTGGTAGTCTGAAAGAGCATATCGGAGAGGCCACAGACGGATGACGGGATTCTAAGTAGAAACCAGTCGCCAGTGCCAAACCTTGTTCATCCACCTCCACCTGTCAGTATTCACAGACCCTTGCTCTTAGTGCACCCTTTGTCACACAGTGGACAGAGGAGGAGGTAGCCTTGCTGTAATAAATACAAATCTTGCTACACTCTCTTCTGTTGCAAACAGGTCCACATCCACATTTCAGTTCTATCAAATAAACTTCTCTTAAGAATCTGAACATGAAGCCGGGCGTTGGTGGCTGATGCCTTTAATCCCAGCACTCGGGAGGCAGAGGCAGGCGGATCTCTGTGAGTTCGAGACCAGCCTGGACTACCAAGCAAGTTCCAGGACAGTCTCCAAAGCCACAGAGAAACCCTGTCTCAAAAAACCAAAAAAAAAAAGAATCTAAACATGACCATGATCACAGTAAGCAAGATAAAAATCCAGCAGACACCATCAATACCTGTTGCTTTGTGAAGTCTGCCTTTCACCTTAGGCTAAAATATAAAAATATAAAAAATGGTAGTGTGTGGGTTCACCTTGTATTGTGAGGTGGCAGGGTGGCAGCTAAGAACGTCTTCTGCCTGCCCTTGGTGAGCTCTTCTGAACAATAGAATGTTTTGGAATAAGACCACCAGAGACAGTCCAACACTGAGCCTTGGGTCTCCTAAAGTGGTTGCATACCATATGTCACTGCTCTGCTTTCACTATAGCCTGTCCTGCTTGTTTCAATAATCACTATTTTTAAATATGACAAAAGGAAAGGTTAGATATGTCAGTCTTGGGATCTATGCATAGTGTCTGCTAGCCATAGTATTCTGGGAACTGTTAAGTGAAATCCCACTGGCTTGTTATCTACTCTCCTTCCTGACTCTCTCTCTCTCTCTCTCTCTCTCTCTCTCTCTCTCTCTCTCTCTCTCTCTCTCTCTCTCTCTACACACACACACACACACACACACACACACAGCCTTCACACCTTCTTTTGTGAACCACATCTTCAGAACAATGTGTATGTCACTGCACCACACCTTGGTCCTGCATTTTCCACAGGATATGTGGAAGAAAAGACATGGATGGACAATCTACGTTAAAAGGGTGTGCTCCTAGCTGAGCTGGACCTAGAGAAATTTCTTAATCTGTTGTGAGAGGAACATCAGGGAAATTTGATCACCAAGACATAGGTTCTACCCAAAGACAACCTAGATGCCTCTCAACCAAAGAAACAATAAGGAAAATGATGATGCATTTACACAATTTACCCAGCAGTAAAAATAAAAACGAAAACAAAAACTAAACTGAGATCATGAAATTTGCAGACAAATGGAAGAAACTAGGAAAAACACCTTCTTGAGTGAGATAACCCAAACCCATAAAGATAATCATGATATGCATTCACTCATAAGTGGATATTAGATGTAAAGCAGAGGATAAGAAACATATAGTCCATAACCCACGAGAAGCTAGGTAACAAGGAGAACCCTAAGAAGGACATACATGAATCCCCCTGGGAAAGGGAAATAGACATCTCCTGAGAAAATTCCGAGTGTAGTGGGGGAAGAAGGGAAGGAGGAAGGAGGAAGGGGGAGGGAGTGGGAGGAGAACATGAGGAAACTAGATGGTCAAGTAGGGGGAAGGACAGAGAAGGAGACCAAGTAAAGATTTATCTTGATTGAGGGAGTTATTATGGGAAAACTCCAGCCAGGAATATAAATTAAATAAATAATTAAATGTATTTTATTAAAGAAGAGCAAAGGCTACCTAGCTATACCAGCAAAAAGATTCATCCCAGATTTCAGGAGTTTACAGGATGAGAATGATGGGTATTTCCAGTAAATAGAAAGTAGACTTCAGAAGAAATTTTCAGTTCTCTTTTTGTGTGTGTGTGTGTGTATAACTTTTATGTTTTTTCTTTTTCTTATTAATTTTTAAATTTAAATTTAGATTAGAAACAAGGTTGCTTCACAAGTCAGTTCCAGGTCCCTCTCCCTTTCCCTCCCCTTCTCCCGTGCCCTCCCCCAACGTCCCATTGGCCCCTCATTTCCACAGGGAGGGTGAGGCCCTCCATAGGGTTGTCCATAGTCTGTCATTTCAACCATGGCAGGGCCTAGACCCTCCCCCAAGAGTTCAGGGTAAGAGTGCATCTCACGTTGTTAGATGGGATTCCAAAGTCCATGTGTATACTCGGGATGAGTACTGATCTACTGTCCAAGGCCTCCTCACTGACACCCACATTCAGGGGGTCTTGATCAGCCCCATGCTGGATTCCCAGCCATCAGTCTGAGATTCAAGAGTTAACCCTTGTCAGGTCAACTGTTTTGGGGGTTAAACCAGCCCAGTCTTAATCCCGTTGGTCATCAGTCCTCCCTCTCTGTTACTGGCTTTCTTGAGTTCAGCTCAGTGCTTAGCCGTGGGAGCCTGCCTCTTCTTCCATCAGCCACTGAATGAAGAAACTTTCAGATCTCTTAAGCAAGCCCATATCCTATTTATCTTCCTCTGCTCTCAGGATCAGTTGAGATTATCAATCCATCCTAGAGCATGCCCAAACCCAAGGCAGTTGAATAAAGAGAATTCAGAATCACAGCACTGAAAACACAGACAGGGGCCCTGGGTGGATATTTACTTGTCTTGGGGACAATTTTGTACCTTGAGGGAGTTTTGATCATCCCTAACCTCTGTGACTTCTTTGTCCACAGCTACAGCCTTAGAGTACAAGGATCACACAGTGGAGAATCTCATCAGGATGGGGATTGCCGTCCTGGTCTTAATAGTCCTTGGGATTTTAGTCTTTGATGCTTGGGGCAGCCAGTGCAAGGCCCACCATGAAGCTAAGAAGTAATGAGAATCTAAATAAGTACATCTCTCAAGGTTCCAGAGTCTGTGAAATCAGTCTTATGATCCCACTGTCTGTAAGGTTTCCAGTTCTCACACTAAGGGACTGGTAGGAGAGAATGTCCAGGGAGCAAATGTGATTTGGGTGCAGAGGAAGGTGTGCGTGTTGAGAGGAGAGCCTTCATCGGCAAATGAATTTAGATCCTTCTACCTACTGTGGGCATTTGCTGATGATCCAACTCTTTTCTGAGTCTTTATCATGAGGAATATGCTTCCCAGTTTGTCTGGCTTGGGTCCTCATTTCTGCACATTTTTTTCACTCTCTCTGATGAGTCATATTTCTATTTTATATATTGCCACATGTTCTACAGATAGGGCCTCTATCTGTTGTCTAGAAACAAAGAAGTTGCATGAAAACAAAACTGATAACTGAAGTCAGAGCCCAGAATTAAATCCATCTGTCTACAATGCCCCAAAACACTTTCTATGTACATTCAATCTTTCAGTCTACAACAGGTATCATTCATGGAATTTCTCTGGAAATATAAAGCCAATGTTACCTCATGCTGGATTAACGACTATCTGTCCAGGGACGGACAGACACACCTAAAAGTTTTTCTCAACACAGAGTCCTTATGTGGCACTTTGTTTCCACTCTACATGACATCATCAAACACACCTTCACAATAGCAACGTAACATCACAAGTGTGAGTTTGGGAGTGTGGCATGAAATTGATGTGGTTTTTCATTACATTCTCCACACTGTAATATTTACATGTGCAAAAGACGCTGGCATACTGATCAATAATCCCAGAATCACTTTGCTATGATGACTTATCATACAATGATTAGAAATATATGCATAGACAATCATGTTATCTTAAAACGATGCTATCTTATTCATTTCAGTCTATCTCAATTTTTTGCCCATACTGCAAATGCTCTTTTACTGTCTTCTGTTTGTGTATTAGCTAACTTTCCAAGTACAAAGCTGAAGACGTGTGAAGAGAGGAGTGACTGTTTCCTTCTTCGGGATTTAATACAAAATGTCTGCTTTCTCATCATTCAGTATGATGCTAATTTTGGGGTGTCTGATACATGAACTTATGGTGACTCTGGAGGTCCTCTGTTCTTAATTTCCTTTGAGAGTCCATGGTGAATGGCTATTCGACATGAACAAATGGTGACACTTCATCAAAATTATATCCATTGGGCTGGAGAGATGGCTCAGAGGTCAAGAGCATTGACTGTTCATCCAGAGGTCCTGAGTTCAATTTCCAGCAACCACATGGTGGCTCACAACCATCTACAATTCAATCTGGTGCCCTCTTCTGGCCTGTAGATAGAACACTGTATATGTAATAAATAAATAAATCTTTTTAAAAAATTATCTCCATTATGCAGGGTGTTCCATTGTAATCTTATTTTCTACTGTCAATATCACATGGTTTTGAATGTTTAATGGGATTTATATGACTGATAAATTCTACTTTTTAAGGAGGTGTTATTTTCATTATATAATAGGTTCTCAGGGCTAATGGCAGGATATAGTCTGAGGAATTACATTACATAGCAGTAAGAGAATTTGCTACCCTGAGCTTAAGTGCTGATAGTATTGTGACAGGATCTGCAGTATCATATCAGGACCTGGGCGATATAAAAAAGCAACGGAGGCAAAAACACATTGGCATGATTTGAAGCAGAGAAGAAATTAAGAGAGTCTTCCTGAAGGGGCAAGAGTTCCTGAGCAAATCAGAAGCACAGGGGAGGGGGTAGAGGGAGAAGGAAGAGAAGGGGAGAATAGGAGCAGTAGGAGAGCATGAGGTATCAGGAAGATTGAGTCAGCGGTGGGAGGGGACAGTAGGGAAGGACAAGAAATGAGATACCTTAATAGAGAGAGCTATTTGCAGGTTTAAAGAGAAATCTGGCACTAAGGACATGTCCAGGGATCCACAAGGATGACTGAAACAAGAAGCAAAGGAATAGAGAGGCTACCTTAAATGCCCTTCCTCTATAATGAGATTGATGACTAAGTTAATTACCATCTTAGAGCCTTCATCCAGTAGCTGATGGAAGCAGAAGCAGAAACATACAGTTAAATACTGAAGGGAACTACTGAAATGAAGTTGTAGGGACAGAAGAATGAGGAGCAAAGGGATCGAAACCCGACTGGGGAAACCACAGAAACAACTGACCTGAGCAAGTGGGAACTCACGGACCCCTGTATGACAGCTGGAAAACCAGCCTAGAACCAAACCAGGAACCCTGAATGTGGGTGTCAGTTAGGAAGCCTGGACAGTCTATGGGGCTCTGGCAGTAGAACCTGTGTTTACCCCTCGTGCAGGAATGGACTTTGGGAGCCCATTCTCCATGGAGGGATACTCCCTCAGCCCAGATACATGGGGGAAGGTCTAGACCCTTGCCCAAATAATCTAAAAGACTTTGATGATCCTCCATGGGAGGTCTCACCCTGTTGGGGAGTGAGTGGGGGGTGCGATTGGGGATCGGTGGGGTGCATGGGAGGATATGAAGGAGATGAAACTGGGACTGATATGTTAAATAAGGTTGTTTTTAATTAAAATAAAAATTTACACGTAAACAAAGAAAGTCTTCCTGTGACAGAAATACAGAAGTCAGAGGAATGAGGAAATTACTGTCATAAACAATAAGCCCAGGCAAGGAGGGAGGACGTATCCCCAGTGAGTCAACTAAGGCTTGCATAAATGTTTCTAAACTTCTCATTCACTATCTCTGATAGCCATGGTTGACATTGCAATCTGTCTCAAGGGCACAGAGCTTTACTCAGCTTCTCCGTGGTTCCATTCTCATTGTGATTCTAATCTCAGACATTCCCAACGTGCCACTGTTTCTGTCACTGTCCCTGGAACATTGCACAGCCCAAATACAGTGAAGACTCAAACACCTGTCTATACTCTTGATCCATTCTCATTCTCCAGCACTTGAAGCCCTGTCCCCGATACATCCATTCCTCAGTAGACTTCAGTCCCCTTCTCTCATTCTACTCTGGTTCTTATGTGGATACATAGGGGAAAGGGAGGGGTCTTCTTGGGTTTTTCACCTCAAAAATATTGGACAAAAGCATCTTAGTCTAAGTTTAACTTATATTCAAAGCTTCTTTTTGGCCTTGATGCACTCTCAAATCTGTGGACACACCTGCCAACATGAAGATTAATAGAATTTAAACGAGCTGGGCTACTAGGACTCAATTGTTTTTCTTAATCATTAACTTAAGCTACACTCAATATGACTCCTCAATAGAAATTCATGTGTTCTAGCTCTGTGACACTACCTTGTTTAATTTTTTATCATCAGTACTCTTTTTAAACTAACATTATTGTAATCAATTAGACAGTACATCTTAGGAAGAAAACATCTTCCTAATAATTCAGAGGTGAAAATGTCCACAGAAAGGGACATTTCCATGAGATAAACACAACACATCAGACACAGTGGGAATGTCCCCACACCCATTGACACCATGACAGATGCCATAGAAAGATGATGGCAGCAAACATGTAAAGGTACAGCAGAAGTCAAGTCATGCTGGAGTCTGTGGTCTCAGGGTCTTATTGTTATTAAATTCTCACTTTAAAGGACAGAGATCTAATAAGACACAGGGGTTATTCCAATTTTTTGTGTCTGTTGAGGTTTACTATGTTTCCAAGTGTGTGGTCGATTTTAGAGAAGGTTCTATATGGTGTTGAGCAGAAGGCATATTCTTTTGTGTTTGGATGGAATGTTCTATAAATGTCTGCTGATCCCAACTGGGTCATAGCTTCTGTTAGTTCCATTCTTTCTTTGTTAATTTTCTCTCTGGTGGTCCTGCCTAGTGGTGAGAGTGGGGTGCTGAAGTCTCCCACTCTAAATGTATGCGGTTTTACTTGTGATTTGAGCCTTAGTAATGTGATTTTGTTGTTGTATTGTTGGTGTTGTTGTTTACCAATGTGGGTACCTTTGTATTTGTGGCATATGAAGTAATAACTTTGAGCCCTTAAAGAAAGAAATTAAAGGAGATACAAAAAAATGGAAAAATCTCACATGCTCTTGAATAGATAGGATCAAAATAGTAAAAATGGCATTCTTGCCAAAAGCAATCTAAAGATTCAATGCAATCCCCATCAAAATCCCAACACAATTCTTCACAGATCTTGAAAGAACAATAATCAACTTTACATGGAAAAACAAAACATACAGCATAGCCAAAACAACCCTGTTCAACAAGGCAACATCCAGAGGCATCACCATCCCTGACTTCAAGTTCTATTACAGAGCCATAGAACTTAAAACAGCTTGGTACTGGACAAAAATAGACAGTAGACCAATGGAATCAAATTGAACCACTGACATTAATCCACACACCTATGAACACCTGATCTTTGACAAAGGAGCTAAAATTATACAATGGAAAAAAGACAGCAACTCCAAAAAATGGTGCTGGCATAACTGGAGGCTGACATGTAGAAGACTGCAGATAGATCCATGTCTATTGCTATGCACAAACCTTAAATCCAAATGGATCAAAGACCTCAACATGAAACCAGCCGCACTTAACCTGTTAGAAGAGAAAGTGTACCCTTGAACAAATTGGTACAGGAACACAACACCAGTAGCATAGACACTGCAATCAACAATTAATAAAAAGGACCTCCTGAAACTGAGAAGCTTCTGTAAGACAAAGGACACAGTCAGCAAGACAAAATGGCAGCCCACAGAATGAGAAATGATCTTCTATAAACCCACATCTGGCAAAGGACTGCTCTCCAAAATTACAAAGAACTCAAGAAGCAAGTCTCCAAAACACCAAAGGATCCAATCAAAAAGTGGGATACAGAACTAAATAGAGAATTCTCAGTAGAGAAGTCTAAAATGGCTGAGAGGCACTTGAGAAAGTGCTCAACATCCCTAGCCATCCGGGAAATGCAAATCAAAACAACTCTGAGATAACCATCTTACTCCTGTCAGAATGGCTAAAACCAAATACATGAATGACATTTTATGCTGGAGAGAATGTGGAGAGAGGGGAACACTCCTCCACTGCTGGTGGGAGTGACGACATCTACAGCCACTGTGGAAATCAATATGGACATTACTCAGGAAAATGGGAATCAGTCTATCACAAGACCAAGCAACTCCACTCTTAGGCATATACCCAAAAGGCGCATATTCATACAACAAGGATGCCTGTTCCACTATGTTCATAGCAGCATTATTTGTAATAGCCAGAACCTGGAAGCAACCTAGATGCCCCTAAACCGAAGAGTAGATAGAGAAAATGTGGTACATTTACACAATGGAGTACTATTCAGTGGAAAAAAGGGAATCTTGAAATTTGAAGGCAAATGGATGGCACTAGAAGAAACCATCCTGATTGAAGTAACCGAGTTACAAAAAGAGAAACATGGTATGTACTCACTCATATATAGATTTTAAATATGAATCAGGGGAGTGCCAGCATACAATCCCACTGCCAGAGAGTCTGGGAAACAGAACCTTCATCCAGCGACTGAAGGAAGCAGAGGCAGACACCCACAGACAAACACTGAACTGTACTCCTGGAATCCAGTGTCAGAAAGGGAGAGCTTATGGGAAAAGGAGTTAAGACTGGGCTGGTTTAACCCACAGAAACACTTGACCTGAACAACGGGGAGCTCTTGGACCCCAGATTGATGTCTGTGTGGATAGCATGGGACAAACCCAAACCCCCTGAATGTGGGTGTCAGTGAGGAGGCCTAGGTAATCTATGGGGCCTTGGGTAGTATTTATCCCTGGAGTACAAATAGACTTTGAGAGCCCATGCCACAATATGGGCTGCTCTCTCAGCCAGGACTGTTGGGGGATGGCTTAGGCCCTGCCCTGGGTGAAATGGTAGGCCTCACCCTCCCTGGGGATCACAGTGGAGATTGCATGGGGGACTGGGGGTCTGGTTGGGAGGGCATGGCGGCAGGTGAGGGAGAGGGAGCTGGGAGTGACATGTGAAACAAGCTTGTTTCTAACTTTAAAAAATGGACGTTGGGAGCCCTTTCCCTATGGAGGAACACTATTGCAGGCCAAATACAGAAAGGAGGGCACGGGGCCTCCCCCAAATGATGTGATG